TACAACATCCAGAAGGAGTCTACTTTGCACTTGGTCTTGCGCTTGCGTTGATTTGCTGAGGGATAGTGCTTCTTTTTCTTCTTGGCATCCGGATTGCCATGGAGCATTGGATGAGACAACCAACATGGTGATGAGGCAAGCAGAGGAATCAGCTTCAGTACTTCACAACACATAGTTAAATAGCGATGGCCTCCAACCTAGTAGCAAAGGAACCAGCTGCAGCACTTCAGAACCAAGTTCCACTCTGGGAGCCAAGAAGCATGAGGGAATTGTTCTCGATCTCACACAGGGCCGGATTTGCCCAGTCAGCCAACAACAAGTTACTGTCCCAATACATATATATATATATATATCAGTTTTCAATAGTACTCCAGTTCCAGCGGACCGGCGTGTAGGCAGCCTCTTACGTTTGGACTCCATGTTTTTGCTTGCCAGAACTGGGATGCTTCCAAAAAGGCCACAAGTAGTTCTATTCGTGTAGAATAGCGCTGGCGCAATGATCGCTAACCTTGGAATCAAAGTGGGCTGGTGTGAGCAGAATCCCGTTTGCATTGGACAGTCACCCTCAGTTCTCTGAAGACATCGCACGAGGCTGCAGATGCTATTTTCAGAGGCTGAAACATTGTACAGATCTTGTGACTGTGACTCCTCCTCGACCATTCTGACCTCAGGCTGGTTGAGTTGAGCAAAAGGTTCGCGCGCGTGGACAGGACTTAAATGCCTCCAACCTCGAGTCTGGAGACAAGCTGGCCTTCGCTTGATTGGAGTATTTTGTATATTTAGAAAATCCCATACTATATAGCTCTCTTTTGAGTCTTTGTAGTATGACCTGTGCATTATGACCTGTGCCCAAACTCGATTTGGTGCCTAGGCCTGACGCCTGACGCCTCGAATAAAGAGCCGAAAAAAACCACGAGGAAGGCCTGGGCCTTTGGCGCCTGGTCACGGGACGCGACTGTGCACCGATCTCCGGACTCCTTTGAATCCGCCATGGGCCATTGGCGGCCTTTGACACAGCGGAAGTATCTATAAGCATTGATCAACTCAACCCATCCCTAGATTAGACTCATGAGACCCATACGCATATTGGTAACAAGGGCATCGCTACTAGGAGCAAAGGGCGTCGCTACTCAAAGGGCATCGCTACTAGGAGCAAGGACGCTACTAGTAGCTCCTGGCCTTACTACTAGTAACAAGAAGCTACTAGTAACTTTGATCAACTCAACAATATAGACATCAATTCAACCCCTACACACCATGCACAGACGATTTCTACTGTCTTCGAGGCCCTGCCGCTTCGCTCAGCCGGCGTCTGCGCCGCTCAGCCGGCGTTTCAAGGACAACCATGATGCGCCATGCACGCCCCCTTCTTTGCTGTTTCTCTTTTTAATGCCATGGAGTCAAAACAACTCGCATGACGACATCGAAACCTATTGAGTGCTCCGAATCTGTTGCAATACCCTCTCACCTCAGGCGAAGGAGGCTGCAATTTTGCTCCAGGGTGGCGTCAGCATCACTCGATGTGATTCTCATGCGCCCCAAGGTGCGGCGTGTGATGGGGTGTGTGACATGTTTTATTCACACTATCAATAAGTTCTCTCTCTATATTATTTACAGCCTTCGGCATGCCGCCGGCCACCAGCTCGAGCCCGCATTGGCAGGCAGCCTAATGATGCTTATTAACAGTCAAACCGTAGATTGAAACCAACCGGGGCAGGGCAGGCTGTCGAAACATCCGCGCGGAGAAACAAACCGTAGATTGAAACCAACCGTAGATTGAAACCAATGGAAACCAACACAAGCCAGACGAAGCAAGACAATCCACAAAGCCGGTACTTGAAAATGAGTCTTCTTCCAAACTACTTGGCCTTTTGCATGTTTTCCTTGTCAGATCTTTTTTTCGACCGTCTTGAGGAATTGCGAGTCGCACAAGATATTCTTTTTCACATACAGAAGGCTTCAAAGCGACCGAAGAATTTCTTGATCTGGCATGATTTGTCGTTTTTTTCTCCAAACCGTTCGAAATGAAAGACCCAGAATGACATCGAACAACAATACCCTGCTCAATCATACTTGTTGGTGCATTGGAGTTGCACATTTGGCTGGGTGAGTTTGTTGATGTTTATTTCAAGGTTGTTTGACCATGAAATGGAACGAATCCGAATCAGAGGTTGTCTATTCTGATCCAGCGATCCGAACCGGCATGTCTCAGTCGAATCACCTAAGAGGAACCAATTGAAACCAACACAAGCAATGCGAACCAAGACTATCCACAAAACATGACCTTGAAAACGATTCTTCTTCCAAACTACTTGGCCGTTTGCATGTTTTCCTTTTCAGATCCTTTTTTCGACCGTCTCGAGGGATTGCGACACGCACCAGATATTCTTTTTCACACGCAGAAGGCTTCAAAGCGACCGAAGAATTTCTAGATCTGGCATGATTTGTCGTTTTTTTCTCCAAACCGTTTGAAGTGAAAGAGCCAGAATGACATCGAACAACAATACCCTGCTCAATCAGACTTGTGGGTGCATTGGAGTTGCACATTTTGCTGGGAGAGTTTGTTGATGTTGATTTCAAGCGAAGTCGTTTTACAATGAAATGGAAAGAATCCGAATCAGAGGTTGTCTATTCTGATCCAGCGATCCAGCGAAGTCCAATCACCTTAGACGTAGAGAGGGGGGGGGGGGGGGGGGGGCGTCAGGCTGTCGAAAAATCCGCGCGGAGATACAAACCGTAGATTGAAGCCAACACAAGCAATACTAACCAAAACAATCCACAAAACACGCCGGCAGGCCGGCGGATTGTATGTATGTTCACACGAGCTGTCCTTTTGAATCATCTAAAAGATAACAAGAACACCACAGCAATGGGTGATGCCCATGAAGAGGTTGGCTTTTCGCTGGAACACTTTCTTGCCCGATTTTTGGATATTGCACGATGCATTTCCAATGGCTTTGCTGGTGCCCTTCCAAGGGTTGCGGTGTTCTACACCAGGTTGGCGTTTGGTCGGAAGTCAGACCAGTGAACACGGTGTCGAACTTCTGCACGCGCAGAATTGATCACAGGCGAACACTCTGCCCAATGATGCGCTGGATATCCACCAACATAGAACATGCACTTAAATTAACTACACAAGAGCTACACAGGTCGCGAATGCAGCAAAATCCAACCGCAGATGCAAGAGGACACGTGCTACAAGTTTGACTGAGTCTCGGTGACTATGGGTGATTCAACACTTTACCAATCTGCCTAGGTCCCGCTTGCTTGTTACAATGACTCAAGTGCAGTTCTTTTTCCCAATGTTTTTCCTTTTCAGTTGCTGACAGATGCGAAGCAAGCAGCTCAAAATCCAATTGTTGCCTGAAACAACTTGGCTGTGAACATTGTTGCTGTTGTTGAGTTTTCACAAGCTCAGGTCCACTTTCTTCAAAAGCAACGCTGGTTCAGCTTTTGCCTCGTTGTGTTTCTCACATGGGTGTGTGCCTTCATAGGGATACTGCAGATACACCCGACATCACCCAACCAATGTGTTTGTACATGTTTTTTTCTTCCAGGGGATCTTTCACGTTCTGTTAATTTTACCCGTTCTTTGTATTGCATTACTGTGACTGGCACACTGATCTACGCTTTTGTTTTCCTTTTTACTGCCCTTTGGGGTGTTGCGCGGTCTTTCTGCAACTGACTTTGCTGCTGCCTTCATGGCTGCCAAAAGATTCAATCGTCTATCTATATATAATTAGAGTATGGCGGAAGCGTGCTATGGAAGTGTGTGATTGGAGTTTGCACCAAACTGGCAGGTGGAAAGTCAGCACAGCTGGCTTAAGCTGCATGGAAGCTCGCAGAAGTCGTCACACTCCGAGTGATGCGACGCAGTCTGCTCGGCCGTGCGGTCCTTGTGCGCCCGTGAGAGACTGTGGAAACAGCCGTATCAGGCCGCAAAAAATTTCACAATACGAATCAAACCGGTTCTCTCGATAGAACCACAACCATGCCAATCTGCCGGTCAAATGCTCAAGTGGTTGTGTGCTGGCTGGTTTTTGAAAGGCATTCAGATTGGAAACAAACCATACGGATCTTTGTCAAAGCAATAGACCACCGTGATAATACTGAACCTGTTAAGTGAACACGTTGCAAGACAATCGTGACCATACTGTTGCAACATATTATGATTGGTGTTTCTACCGTATCAACGTGTAGGTAAAAGTCAGAGGCACAAAACACAGGTGTGCGACTCCGAACAAGGCTGCAATGCTCCAACCGAGTCGTGCTCCAAGGGTGTGGTGCGACTCCGAACTTGTGACGAGGGAAAACGGTGGACATTGTGAAATCTGGACATTAAATGTTCACTGAACTTCCTAAACACTGAAAACAAATCACCGCATGTGGCATGCGTTCGTCTAAACAAAACGATTCCGTTGATGAAGCCACAACCAGGGTCGGTGCTATTGTAATCTTTGGCTCTGAACAAGTGAACATAGTGTCCTCTCAAGAGGTTTTGTGATAGCTTTTGAAAGAAATTCGGATTGGGAAGAAACCATGCAAATCTTTGTGAAGACCTTGACTGGCAAGACCATCACCTTGGA